TGACGCTTTCGTCCTTCTGCAACACTACACGCCCACAAATTTCGATGTGTCAAGCTTTCTCTTTTTCTCTTCATTCATTGTATCTAAGCGGCAGATGCGTGACTCCAATTTGATGGTCCTTCCATGGCAAAGTCAACCGTTCAATGACAAACAAAAATTCTAAAGCCTTTAAGATATTGAGACCTTAAATAACCCAATATCCTGTCTCTACTTGTCAAATACAACCAAATCAAAAAGTGAATACTAAGACCATCCTCTTGTTCAGCAAAAGAACACCATAAAAGACCGTTTATCCTGCAACTAAAGGGTGGTATACAACCCACTTATATGTATATATAAATATATAATGTTCTGATGAAAGTAAATTGACGAGTTCATTTTGGATGTAACCTCTCGTCTGTAACATCTATACTAAGCCCTCTGATGAGTAGTCAGTTAATTTATTCCCTACCTCAACTGCTTGAATGTTGAAGTAAGTATAAAGTATTAACTATTAGGCCTATTGAGTGAATAATTAAATAAACTCTTATCGAAACCAAGTGCCAGTAAGTTTAGAATTTAACACTCCTGTTCCCTGCTGATGACAATTTTCTGTCCTGCCGTGAAATAAGTTCAAAATATTTAAAAGAGAGAGAGGCCATTGCACAGATTTAATTTGCTTTACATTTAGAGGTCTGTGAAAAATTGATATGATTGTGACTTGAAATTCCAGGACTATCCTAGCTCTAACAACATGAGCTGGATGCTTGTGGTTTTGTGGGGTCCTGCATGGCTGCTTGTACATGCCAAAATAGACCCAACTGTGCTAAAAACAACGGCCCGTTATACCCTATTTTGAAAAAGTCAACAGAATCATGAAATCCTTTCTGACTGCAGTAGCATCGAACCGGAAAAAAATTATTGTTTCATCGCCTTGACAACAAAGAATTTCCCCTTTCCGTGCGCTGGCGTAAGTGTGCAGTTCATTTTGATACACATGCATAATTACGATGTTGTGCTTCCCGTCCAAGCTGTGTCCGTGTATTACACTATCCTACTCAAAAATACTTGCATGGCAGATTTACATGGTTGGATTTACACGACATGGGAAATGGAAAACTTTTAGTCAAGAAGAAACCTTTTATGATGTATTCAGATACATTGTACTCGTGGGCATTGTGATTTGTAAGCTCACAAAACCTCTCATGCGCAACATGACAATGTGTACAAAAGTATACACTAGTGTGATACTGTGGAGTAAAGTTACGATTGTTGAAATAACTAGAAGTAGAAAAAGTTGCTGGACAGTAACAAAATTGGCAAGCGTCATTCAGAAAGCATAATATAATGATCATTGTTAGCATTCGTCTCTGGTACATATCTTTAAAAGAGGAAAATACCAGCAAACAACATGCTGTTTAATACTGAAGACGGAGCTTCGAAATTCCAGGTTATCTTACTGTTTGCTAGTTTTCGATTTGGTCCATCTGGAGTCTGAAGCATATTTTCCCAGACTCCTATCAAACTTGAACGTGGCCACGAGTAAAGTTCTCACAAATACGTTCCACAGCGGTTGTTACTGGAACCAAGTTCCTTTTGTGTGCTACAGGTACTTCAGTGAAAACGCTCTGGGCCCCTAAGCCATATGGCAAAGCGTCTATACACAGGAACAGTAGAATTGGATTCGTTGAGCGAAAAAGAGGGGGAATATCTAATGCCTTCCCTCAAAAGCTCGCAGTGACCTCTGACACCACGTTCTTAAAAGGGAAAAAGAAACTCCATGAAATTATGAAATGGGGAGCCAGACAAAAGCCGTAGTGTGTCGTCACAGCCAGTGGAGACCCAACCGTCAATCATACATTCAAGATTGGATTTGGAGGTTGAATGAGGGCTTTAGTCTCCCTGTTCTGGCCAGGATTTGCTTTGGAATATTTTATGGCAAATGCTGAAAGGCTCACCACACGGCAAGCGACAGACTAAAACAGCAAGACACGTCGCTGAACAAACTGCCGGAACTCAGTGGTGCGATGAGCAATTTTTTTGAGCAGGACCATTTTAGAAGCTGTAGGTGCATACAGTGATTTCAAAATCGAACAGCAATGCTCACGTTTGGGCTTGACCATTTACCGAAGCACTTGTTTTTCAGTGGTGAACTAACAATAAGTAAAAACAAGCGTGCGAAGCCTGGTTACACTTACGAGTTATGCTGTCCTCTGCAAATTTCTGACACTGCAAGCAGTGGTGTTTTAAGCCGCAGTTTCAGATGCATCTTTACTCAGTTTGTGCTAGCGTGGTTCTGAAAGTGGCAGGGCAAACACAAAAAATCCATAACTTCATTTCTGTAGACACTTGCTCTAAATGGACTCACCTATTTTCTCTGAAGGATTAGCCTATGAAAAATGTTCGAAAGTTTGGGTCCGGGACTCATTTAAACCCTTCTGATAACTTGAAATAAGTCTATATTATTTCACACCTTTATGAGAGTGACAAAACTCTGAAACCCTTTTGTGGGAGACATACTCTTGTCGTCCCTCGTTTACCATCACACCACACCAATCCTTCTCTCTACAATGCATAGAAACATATCTGCTGATTATAATTGTATTTGACGGGGGCACTAACATTGAAAACAAGTAGGATCAGCATTCAATAAGGACCTTGCTCTATGAGAACATTTTGAAAACATTAGATGATTTAAGGTGCATTCTGCTGCAATCAACAAGGAATTATTATAAAAGGGAGCAGCAACTTTGATATATGATATCACTAAAAATATACTTTAAAAATTGGGGATGGTCAAGCTTTATAATCGTCAGCTCTACCAAATATTTACAGGTGAGACATGGGCCCATCTACTTTGGATCGCCGGCAATACCAACGATTTGATCCACCAGCTACTTTCGGTACCATGAAAGCTACAGTTGAAGCTAAATACAGACTGCATCAAGCAGTCTTTCCACACTGCTTACAAGTAGAAAGCCGCACCGTCTCGGAAATACATGTACTTCGGGCAAGCTTAAGCCGTGTTTCACGCAGGAGGAAGCGCAGTTTAGTCCATTAAAAATCTAGTCTACATTCCATCAGCGACAATTCAAGGTCGGCGCCCGAAGCCACCCCGGGAAACAATGGCCGCTGCTCTGTGGGGAAACAAGGTGACTTGGGAGGCAAGAAAAGGAGCACACGGGATGAGGTTTGGTAAGATTCAATGCGCGCTCCAGTGTCTCCATGAAGCCTGCACAGTGGAAGACTTTAGGGAGAAACCACAAAACTTGAGGTGTAAAGCAAACAACATTCTCTGGAAAAATAAAAATAACTATCGGTCGATGTATAGAAACATCTTATTAGGCAACTACCATGATGGTCTGTAGTCACTGATGTCAGGAAGTATCCAGACAAATGTAATGGGGAAAGGTTACCCAAACGAAATGGCGCATTATAATTCAATTGAGCAGAACCAAACTTCGATCTTTTTTCCCTACTGTTCAAACACTTCAATATTTGAGAGGCCAAAGACAACAAGATCTTTCTATTCATGTAATTATCCAAGACAGATTTTCCTAGACAATTTCAATGAGCTAATTGGATTTGACCGCAGCAATAATTCCCAATTTTGAGTCTTCTTACTTTTTTAATCACGGGGAATCTGCATGAGAGGCATTTTGAGTATTTATTCCAGTTTGGGAGGGTGTAACGTCACAACTTAAAAGCTCATGATCAATGACATGCGCTTGACGAACGATTCCACAGTAAACTTACCTGCATTAAAACTCTCGGGAATCTAAAGTGTTCCAAAATGACTGTTTACTTGACCAAATACGCAAGGGGTATGTATTATACCATATGTAAATATAACATTTTCCAAATTCCCTGTATATTTAGCTTCATTTTGTTCATACTTTGTGCCCAAAAAGCAATGTCAACGGTTCCTTCAGGCACTATGTTGAATTTGCCCCAAGCTTATGTCCACAGAATCAACGGCGAAAAAAATCGATGGGAACGCCATCTGTGCCGTCGAAAAAATTGATAGTAGCATGAAGGGGCGAAATTAGCCGCTTTGTGTGTAATGGGGCCTCACCGATGCCCATCGGACAATAAGACCAAGCTGTTCTTGGCTCACCTGTACCGCACTCGTGCATCGATACACGGGGACGCAATCGATACCTCAGTAGCATGGAGACGTGAGCGAACAAGAGACCAGTGCTCAAAGAATAAAAAATCTTTATAACTTGTTGCCGGAGGCGAAGCTTAATTTACAAGTATCAACCCGTCACTCGCTCTCTCATCTACCCACTTTTCTCACCTAGGGTAATCATCCTAGTGAGAAAGAAGAGGATGGGGAGATGTTTAAAGAGTCGATGATGTTGTGACGAAACGAGTATCAACGGATGCTTTTCTGAAGGGGCGTGCCGACGGTGTTTCACACCTCAAGGTTTTTTAACGATCACCAAACACACGATCTGGTAATTGATATTCTTACTGTGCATCCATCCTTGCCGCGATCATAACACAGCCACACGTATTCTAAGCCACCTCCCAGGTACAATACACAAATCATGTAAAACTTTAGATTTGTGTATAATATCGTACGATGGTAATTTCAACCACTGTGGTTTGAGCACGTCCAAATGCAAGTACATGTACACCGTGCAGTTTTTCCATGTATGCCTGAGTTTATTACAAGTTTCGTAGATTCGTTTTCCCTCCTGTAAGTACATAAGGGTGGCAGGCATTTCTGGAAGAAAAAGTCCCCATGACCACAGTGCGCATGTATGTGCTGAGAACGTATAAGTATGGTGAGAAGGTTGGTGTCCACAACTGACCAGTCCAGAAAGCCAAGTAAGTTTCATATGACAGGGAACTTATACGAGACTTCGCCTAAATTTCCTGGTCACGTTTGCAGCTTTTGTTTTACAGTGATATCTCTACTAAATGATTAAATGCAGACACAGCTCTCAAAGGAACTAAATGGCTCGGCACAAATTTACAAGCACAAGCAAAAGACGGAGCACCAACTACAAGAATGTTTTCAAGAAAAAACGTTACCGTTTTTATATAATTTAAGTACTTTTCGATATTTAGTTAAATTTTTCCTTAGGTCTACAAATTAAGTACAAAAGGGTTCTTCATTCAAACGTTGAACCAATGATACCCTAGGCATACAAAATGTTCATCGTATGGTTACAATTGATATAAAAATTGCAAAATTAAATATTGGAAGAAGTTGGTATCAAACATGAAAATAATGTATACTTTGCAGTTACCATAAGTAAAGCAAATAAACTGTAATCGCACAGATTGGCAAACCACAACTGGACGTTCGATTACACAAAGTTACTGCATTTTTCTTTTTTTCTCACATATGCCATTGTACAATTGTGAGATTAATTCTAAAGAGTCTGGGGGTACTAAAACGACTTACAATACCTTTCTTTTGGTGAGTCTGTCCTAAAGGCCTGACGATATTTACGATCGCAAATTCTAGATCATTTCTCCCTGATGCCAGTTTCAACTAAAAAGACAGAAACAGTATGAAATGTGATTATTTTCCATTAAATTGAAATCTAAATCATATTTTTTTCACGAGGTCTCAAGGTAAAAATCACATTCTGCAATGCATAAAGTAATAAGGTTTACGAAAGTGGTTTCTAGTGTGCACAGCAAGCACAAAAATGCGAGCATGTGAGCACACGTATAAGTTAACTGAAGCGAAGACCTATGCTGGTACAAGGTAGATTTAAAGACAAGTAGCACATTTCATAGTCTTATTGAATACTGTTTGGTTTTCCAAATTTGATCTACATGAAGGTACACCTATATCAATAATATTTGGACAAAAATGGCAACAAGTTCATCTTGTTCTTAAAAGAATTAAGTTCTGCCTCGGGCTTCCATAAAGACACAAATAAGGTAGGCTTTTTCTGACCGTGATCCTACATTTGTACCTGTTGTAAATTTAATCTTGGACTTCAAATTTCATAGCTCCAGTCTAATAGAAGTCTGTGGTCAGAATATAAACGATGGTTATCGAACTGTCATTCAAGAATAAATCCACTGTTGTAAAACTCTGAATATTGTCCTACTGCGACTGCGCAATTACTCCCAGGAAAGTGTATCAGAGTAATAAAACTCATCATCTGGAATAAAGGTGTCTCAAAAAGCTCCTGTTTAATTGTCGTCAGGGTTCCTTTGAATTGAGAGCGAATCAGACCTCCTCTGTACTAATGCTGCAGCCTTCATGGGGCAAGTAAACACGAAGTACACTTAGTGAACGGATTACACACCCAAGGTCGGTCACTGTACATTGTACCCAAACCATAACAACAATACAACTACAAACACGTTGAAAAACTCAACCAACCGAAAAAGGTACATCTTTTACTCCACCATCTCCGATGGTTCCCAGAAAATTCCCGTTTGCACAGCTATAGCCAGCAAACAGGAAAACGACCAGTCATTTTATAGAACGCCGTCAAATTTTAACACGAGGAATTTCAAAGTTTGATCCACCCGAGATAACCTTTGACCTCTCGCAAATCAACACAAAGCATTGTGAATGGAACCGTACATGCACCGTGTTGAGGTTTCCAAAGTGCACAGCGGAGGCAACCAAGCTTTGATCAATACCCGGGCAAATAGAGCACCCAGCCAATTGTGAGCTTTCATGTTGATTGGAACATGTAAACATTCGAAGACAACTGTGTGAAAATGTCCACACCACTTTTGAAGAGGATTCTGCGGGTTTCTTTTAATCATCACGATTTCTTTGTCGATTTCCATGTTGACGAAGGTTTGTGTTAAAAAGCATTACAACGCAACACTTCTTAATTCACAACGGGAATTATTTCACTAATTTTACATGATATGAAAATGATATTCGGATTGGAAAATACTGTTCTGAAAAAAATCTTAAAATAAAGTCTGAAATTCCGGAAGCGTACGGACCAGTCAACTTTCACCAATGCTTTAAATTTGGTCTTTCGAAATACATGTATTTCAAAAACACATTCACTGCCATTCAAAATAAATAAAAAAAATATATATATAACAGTATAATACATGCTTGTTTTAGTTTCAAAACCAATGGAGTAGAGTTTCAAGCAATTCCTTACCATTCGGTATCTTGCAATCACTCAGTTCAATGGCATTATGATTTAAATGTATGTGACTGTTTATTTACCACTTCGGCTTTATTTAAACTTAATGTACTGTACGTGAAATTTTCCTGTGCGTTTATTCTCAAACTCCGAGAGGAAGTGTCTCATTTGGGGGAAAAATGTGCCAGTAAGTATCCCAAGGTTTTGTTTTTCTTTGAGGCAGTCCAGTGGATTAATAAAGAAACAAGTTGTCGATGATTCCATATACAGATTCCTGTCTGAAAACAGACTGAAACTGACTTTGGGTGAATCTTTCAAAAGTTAAGTTCAAACTACTCATCTTTGGGATGGAGAAAAAAGGCCAAGGCCCATAACCACTTTGAGAGTTTTTTTTTCATCTAATACTACAAAAAATCACACAAGAAAACGTCTTGTAAAGTCCCGTTTCAGAATGTACCGACCGCTAGTGAACTGAGCAAAAAATTAAAACCAAGGACAAACAGTATCGATTAGAATTTGAAATATAATTTTTTTTCGTTTAAATACTGATCGTTAGCATTCTTGGCGACTGACTTATCACTGGTTATAACAAATGACAAATACAAAATATACAAATGGCAGTAGTTCAGAATTATATACAACGGGCACCAGGGTACTTGGAGCACGTTTGGTGTTCTGTTGATAATTGAAAAGGTACCGACATTTTAAAAAATCCAAAAGGAGTCTTGGATAAGTGCAAAATCCTAGCTGTCCTATCAGAGAACATTCTTGGTTGACGTGACACCAGTTAGCGAACTGCTTTGCCGGTATCCAATCCAGCGGAGAGATGGTTGTTGAATCAGTAATGGTCATCGAAGAAGGCTGGCGTTTATACAAGCGACGTTGCTAACCGACAGCAATAATAATAATACATGCAGGATAAAGCTGGAGATTGGGGTATAAAGAGCCAAAATTCCTGTACAGGTGAAAGATGAAGTTACGCGCAGGTAAGACCGACGTCACTCAAGACTTATGGCCGTGAACTTGGCGACTTACGCGCAGGTGAACTGAACTGAAAGGGGGCTCGGTTGTCTCGGTAATTATTCTCTTTCTATACAAATTATTATACAACCATCATTCGTCAGTAACTCTATGGCAGTGTTACATTACAAAAACACGTCACTAATCCGGCTCCGGGTTCTCTGTCAGACCCAGGGTTTCTCTTTCCTTTAAAAATAACTGTACACGAATACACTATGCTGTTTGCTGGGAATAAAATACAGCATTATTTACATGTGAATCAGTAGGTCCACAGTGCACATGGTGGAATCAGTACTAGAAAGACCATAATGGTGTCAGGGAGGACAGCAGACGTACGGCTGGGAAATCAAAGCAAATCGAGGGTTACGTTTTGGGCTACCAATGAGAAGAAGCCCATGTGCAAGCAGATCTTCCTGGTATGGTCTCCATGCTCATGGCACTTGTGATGGCCATCAGGATGCGTCAGCAGCTCCTCCAAGCGTATAGATCTTCCAAGGTGGTGTTCATAAAACACAACGGTCCAAACGGTACTTCGAAGTACTAGTCGTTAAAATACCTAAATAGTGTGCTGCAGTGTACGACTTGGAACATTATTTAAAAATGCCCGGCATCAAAAAATGACAATAAAAACCGAAATTGTTGGGTGAGTAAAAGTCAGAGAAAAGTGCGTGTTAAAGGCTGTCGAGTACAATAGACAGTACTCCAATCATGATGAACCAGTCAACTGTCCGTTTGAAGGGGGCAATGGTCCACAGTCAGGGCGTAATATCATCGGCTTGGCCGACATTTTTAAAGGGTCTTATTTATATATTTATATATCGAACAGCAAATTATCTCCCAGTTTGAGAGAGTCTCAATCGAGATTCAGTTATCTTCTGGGAAGCTGGCGAGTCTTTTTTCTCTGTCATTGCGCCGGTTGCTCCTTTCTCTGTTCTGTCTTTTCTGCTTCCTTCTGTCCCGCCGTCTGTCTTCGCGGCTGGGCCTCTCCTCGTTAGCGTTCTCGTTAGTGTTTTCCAGGTCCGAATCATTGTGCCGCTTGTCATACCGCTTGCATTTACAACTCTTGACGGTGCGAATCCTGTAAGTCCTGGTCTCGCCGTTGTTACACACGAGGTGCACACGCCGCAGCTTCACCACATCGTTGACGCAGCGCCATTCCTTGGTCTTGGTTCTGCCCCACACTTTCACGATATCGGCGCCCTCGTTCAACAGGCTTCTGGGTACGCACTCCCCTGTGCAGACCATCTCAGTGATGGGCCGGGTGCTCGTGCAGAATCCATCCGAGATGTATCTCTTTGAGCGTAACTCCGTACACGAGAGATCATCTAACCAGGATCAAAACAAAATCAATAGGCAACGATCAATCAAACGTATATGTGAACAGTCGGGTCGTTACAATAGGATTTGTGACACATTTAGCGACTCTTTAATAAAGAAGGGGAGAAAAAACAATTACTTTAGGGAGAAAATTACGTTTCTAGATTTTCTGCGTACTCGTGGTCCATCAGTTGGCTGCCTCGGAGGATAAACAAATCACAGTCCAAAGGTACCAGTTTAACAATACCGTTACAAACATGCAAGAAGTTTCAAACGTTCTGTACATCCGAATCTACATTTTTATTGTTTGCTGAATGCTGGACATTAGCTAACAATGCGAGAATAGGCATTGTTTTCAGTGAGCTGTAAATACTTCCTGAAATACTGCCTCGGCGTGGGCCGAGAGTCATCTAGTGTCATAGCGCCTCTCGATGCATCTTCAAACAACACCACAAAAGACCTACGATAGACCTGTTCCCCGATCTTCCTTTGATCCTGTTTTGAATTTATGTACATGTACTCGGATTCAAGTACTCTCGTTAGGCAAACAGATTTGAAAAAAAATCGAGGACAGCTCGTGATGTAGAGTTTAAGAATAGGTATTAGTAAGGAAGAATGATGTAGGCACACATGATATTTTATTCAAACGTTATTCATGAGGTGCATACAAGATCGCAGCAACTTGCAAAAGTACTTTTGCGAGGTACCTTTGTTCTTCTATTTAACACTGTAGAGCAAACTTAAGATATTAATGCCAACGCACGGATGGGTAAGGGTCGGCAAATACAATAGTAGGTATTGATCGCATACGTGCGTCGCCTCAACCGATACCCGTGACCTTTTTTGTGAATGTGAGGGTCTGCCCAGGGTCCTCAACTAAAAAGGCGACTTTTTATGAACAGTTCTCTCGTTGTCATGCACATGCACGAAGTTTCATTATTCAGAATCCTGAGTTATCAAGATAACAAGTCAAGCTGAAATACTTGCATCATTGACTTATTCTTTAGTTTTAATTACACCCATGGAGAACCTTTTGTAAGGAGAACTGCATATCGCTCAGTGATGTTAATAATTCCGTTCTGCAAAATTAGTTTTGCTAAGCCAAGAATTGATTGAAACGGTAACATTGCATAACAACAAAATTTAATGATACAACAAATTCGAACACTTCGATTTTACTGTCAAAACATTTTCGTGGTAATTTAGAAGTTACTCTAAATGTGATACTTAAAAATAATAATACAACAACGGTAAGGATGAAATCACGTTGTTTAACAAGATGTTGTACAAAAAAACATCTGATTTCCAATGCTTTTTTTTTATCTAATGTTATCTGATCGATGTTCTCTGTCTCCAAATGTTTCAACGTTTTGCCACACGTTTCTCATTAACATGGTTTTGACGTTCTGATACCAGTTCTGATGGGAACATGGTCACACAGTACAGGTCAGATCCAACAGAGCGAGCTCAGTCACAGGGGTCTGGGTGAGTACTCCCGGGCAATACACAGATTTTTGTTCGCCAGTTGAAAGGCAATTGTACTAGAACACAATGCCCAGTAAAATCCGACCGTGAATAATTATGATTAAAAATACAAGCCCCGTATTGTTAATTGGCGACACCTATATCTCTGTAAACCATTTGGCGATTTGAGGGCCATTCGGCTAACTTTCAAAACTCTACTGAACTTTGGACATAGTTTGCAGAGGTTGTGTTTTCCAGCAAGTTTGGTAAAACGTGATCACTGGAACTGTATTTGTTTTACTAACACGAATTGGTCCTGAACCACGACAAAACCTAGAAAAGAAATACGCAAGTTACGAGCCGTCGATTGGGAATTTACGTTAAACGTACCCGTTCCCTTTGGCAGGCAAAAAGGTGTGTCTTTGGTGCGTATAAATCCATACAAGGCCTCCGCTACGCCACAGGCGTGCGGAGGGGGATCCGTACGGGAAAAGTTCGCGTGAAAGAACATTCTTTTCAAAGGGCAAAGAATATTGAATAAGCTCTTGCCTGTATGGTCAATGGACTGCTATTGTTTACATGCCCATGGGGTGTGTGGTACGGACTATATAGCCTGTTTAGCACAAGCAGTGCATTCAAGCCTTACCCTTTGCCGTGTGTGTACACCAATGGTATCAATAGAATGGGGGCCCTGCGCCGTTTGCTAGTCCTGCCAACGAATGGCCGCACTAGTGTCGGCTGGCAATCACGCCTTCTCTTCTACATACCTTGGCTGTACGAAGCCTCGGTTTCCTCGTCTACGTAGTGTAAGGCTCCTTCGAACACCCCTGACTCATGAAGACTCCCTCCTCTGTCGCTTTGCTCCTCCTCATGTGCCAGAACAACTGGTAAAAAGTCTGTTTCTGAATCGACCTCGGTGTCCACAACCACTCCGCTCGCAATGCACAGCATCGTACTCCACAAAATCGCTGCTCCTAGCCATAATCTCCTCACTGAAATCCACATGTTTGTACCTGCCGGAGAAAACCTGCGCTGACTACGGCCGGCGACTCCTTGGCTCTGCTGGTAAAGTTTCACATGAAGACAATTTGTCAAAAGCGCGGGAATGGACTATCATGGCAGGCCAACCTGAACTGCAACTACATGACAATAGAATCTAGGAACCGTGTACGTTTGGAGCTACCTACACCAGCACTGAACACGTACTGTACTGTACGTGTACATGTGCATGGAACGCATCGGATCTGTTCGCCTCGCTCTCTCAGGAGGCGTGGCTAAAAGCTGTCGATCACTCAAAACGGTGGCGGCTTTTCTGTGACGTAGTTTATTCACCGCTCAGATCAAAAGGTACTTGTCACGCATCTCGCCATTTAAGACTCACGGCCGTGGCAATTACAAAAGCTTAACAAGAGCGACAGGCGGGGCGCAAATATGTCAAATAGTGCGACATCGCATTTAACTATGGTTTAACAAAAAAAAAAAAAAATCACCGAAAAACAATTTATAAAAACTAATTTCGCCGGTCTTTATAAAGTATCTGTAAGTATTCATTTTTGTCTATTAACTTAGCGGCAGTAGAAATTAAACCAATAGACACTGTGTTTTATTCCTCCCTGCACTTGTGTAACTTTATTCCGAATTTATGTAGATTTCTCACATCAAAGGTTAACCGAGTGATTAACATCCATACTACGAGGTGTAAAAAAAAACTTATGAGTCCTAATTACTCGTGGTGGACTTGGTTAGCTGCCTGAATTTAACAGTACACCTGGGTGTGATTGAGGTAAATGTTATACTTTGCAAACCAGCAAGGCCAATCAGCAAGGCCAATCAACGCTATCTTCCAATGTACACATATTGATAAGGTAATTACTGTGATAGCTTATTAGTCATATCTCGATACAGTCCCACGTACGGGTCTAATGACGAAAATGACGATTCTCCTCAGCCAACTTAAACACAGAAAGAGCACACACCACACAAATGATTGTTTTAGTGAGTCAGTTTCAAATAGGCCTAAGTCGTTTGGATTTCACAATCGGGATATGGCCAAATCACTAAGCAGAATAATTTGCAGAATTGTGTACACACTTCTTTCTAATGACAAAAAGTATGTTTCTGAGAGCTATTTGTTTTAAGATTTCGACCGCGTGGCCCAGATTTGTAATTATTGACCCAAAGCTCTTGTTCTAATTAGAACAGTATGTTGTAGATGAATGGGTCATCCGTATTAGCTCATATGAAGCTCACAATTCAAATTAAAATTGCATTGAGTAATATTAAATTGTTTATGACGTTTCAAATCTGTAAGTTTAACAAAGTTGACATTTAAATTTTTTCTGACTTTTTTTTCAATTGGGCTTTCATATCACTTAAATCTGGTATGACCAAAACCTGAATGTAACCTCGGATTTTAAAGGCCACATTATTCAGTGCATGAATTATTCATCAAGCCAGTGAGTGTGTAAGGCACTGACTCTCAGTAGAATTATAAACGAGAAAGTTTACTATCAAGAAACTACAATCAAGAAACAGTACGATTCCAATCCGTTCATTTATTTGAAGGGCATCATTAGAAAATCATAAACATTCTATACACAAAGAGATTTCTGTGACAAAATATGCCTTCAGAGAAAAATGAATATGGTCGCATATGCTACAGTTATGCCAAAAGTAAACGGCCATAACCATAACCATAACCAAACGATTTCTTGTATAAATGAAATATGCTCCCCAAGTTTTTTGGGTTTAACAATGTCTGTGAATGCGTAATCCCTAAAGCCTACTTCTGGAGACACTAACCCAATGTCAACAACAAATTGTCGTGAAAGAACCTTGTATCTCAGTATATCTAAATGATAAATAAGTAAAGTCTACAGCTCAATGTTGTGATCTGAATGACAATGTTGACTCGAGATAATACACACAGGGCATATATACGAGCTATGTCAGTATTTACGCAAACCAGCAAAGCCCAAAGAAAATTGATAGACCTTCAGAGCCTGAACTTAAAATCTGCTGGTTCGGATATGATTCATAATGCATTCCACGTCTACTCATCTACACGTCTCCTGATTTTTCTTGGGGTAAACACAAAACAAAGCTTTACTGGATCGGCACCCTTTTTCAGAAGTGTACATTTGGATGTAGGGCTGGCGATAAGAAATGTTGAAAGTTAATTGCTCTGTATGCAAAGGAAGGATCGAAAATTACTTTTGCAGTCTTGTGATTATTACAAAACATCTTACCGACTTCGTTTGATTCACTTCAGACTTAAATGTTGTCGAGTGAGTGAAAAAAGCCTCTTCAAAAATTACATCCTACAAACGAGTTTAAGCTCAAATGCCACATTTTTTTTCTTTTAAATAGCTGTTCACTGTAAATATAATAGTTTGCAGAAAAGATTCGCGGTCCTCTTGTTCTGACCTCAAATTCATCAATGGTGGCGCTACACAGCGTTCCTAATCAGAGTTGATTATACAGAGAGCATAGCCAAATCCAGACTTTGGATCCAAAATGGCTGTTCGTTGTGTGAAGTACAGCATGCAGCTATTTATTGTGTGCTAATTGTTCTTTGCACCGCCTAATAAGCCACCATTTTTATTCCAACAGTTGAAACACTCATGTCGCAACTCTTTCTTTAAACAGCTCTGTTCCTATGGGCGCAGTGAACTAACTCAACTAACATAGGCCTATATTTCCACAATCCCTCCATTTTGTCGCACAAACAATATCATTTTTCAAAAGAAACTGCAGGGCAACCTTTTATGCTATTGAGCTCAGCAGAAATTTCCACTGCACCATGCACTGCACCCTGAAGCCTTGCTGCGATAAACCGAGTCATGGTCATGAGATATACACGCATTCATGTGTAATTTGATGTGTGACTTCAGTATTGTGATAGAAACAGCGAACTGTTTGCTCAGTAATTAGCAACTTAGCAACCCCATTTCTGTTAGCTGAAATTTCGAGGGAATAAGTGATATATACATTTCTAATGAAGTTAACGGTGAAAAATTGCATTCTTCCAGCTTTTTCACAATCAATAATTACTCACCTGATGGGCTAGTTATTCCTACAAGCTTATGCAAAGGCTCAGAAATCAAAGTGCTAATTTTCCAAGCACAGTTGACGGTGGAACTTGAAGAAATTTTTCCTGTTTTGTATTTATTTCATTTCCAGACAAACGCATTTGGATAACGACTGAATTAGGTGAAAGTCCGTGCACATATTGAGGGGAGTGACCAGGGGCGTAGTGATGGGGGGGGGAACCGGCAATCCCAATAATTAATTCCGGTCGGCAAATAGAGCTTCGTTGGCGCACAAACGATATACATGTACGTTGGTGTCGGCATATCCCCTGAAGCATAAAATGTAGCGAACCGCGGATTTCCATTTTACGCGACGCGAAATTGACTCTCGCACACCCCCAAAGAAAATGCCTTCGCTACGCCCCTGGGAGCCATCAAATTAATGACGAAAAGCGTCAGAAGATCAAAACATCAACAGTGAACAGTGAAAAATGAGGACGTTTTTCGGGACAGCCAAGTTGGCGCAAAAGCTACTTTCATCACCTTCCACTTCCACGGCGACCCGAGTTCGAATCTCACTTGGGTACACATGTGGATTGGGTTTTCAGTCCCTACCTGACCGACTTCGTGTACTTTCCCCGCAATTTGAAAGTTTTCCTCCCATCTCTGAAAACAGTGATTCTTATTACCAGAAAGAATTAAATTAAAGTTGGTTAGTACGTATCAGGCTACTGTTTCTAGGTTTCAGTTTGTAGGTCATAGGTAGTCATTTTTGAAATAATTTCTCAGGATTATTTTTTTGAGGGGAAGGAGTGGGGAAAATATGCAGACAGAAATTTTGTTGTATTGGACCTGAAACGTTTCAGGAATACTGCAGTACTACAGCAATATTATTTGTTGGCCTTGGCTAGCAATATCTGCTGAATGCAACCTTTTTGAGACCGCTAGGAACATGAATTGCAAGGGCCTTGCTAGTTTTCCAAATGATGGTACATGTAATGTATACTAACGACAGTGAATGACATCCCGAACACTCCTTTCCCGGACGTCTTTTTTACCAAGCTGAAATACATGCACACAAATCACAGCATGGTGCACAAAGTCATGCTCAGAACCGTCTAAAAGCACCTGAATGAGCTTAAAGTTCGCGTAAAAAATGCACCAAGTAATAGACTGGAAAGTTCACTAAAATAAAAAACATACCTTGATTTTTTGACAGCCCAGATGTACTCGTAGAGCGAAGCTGTGCACGCTTAATAAGTGGCTGAGTGATGTCAACCTAGAGTCCTGGGAAAATACAACACAAGTACCAAAGAAACACGAGCTGCCACGTTTTGAATGCCAGTGCCACGTCTTGGGTTGCTGATATCGAAGACTGGTCGCCAATTGTAAAGCTGTGCGACGAAGGTAGACCACGTTCACGGCCGGTAAATAATATCGCAAACCATCGCTTGTCAGTGCATGTCAGTCACTCACCGGGCGGACAATCCTACTAACTAGACTCGACACTGTTCTCCACGTCACTTATGTAGCCACGTCACTTATGTAGCCAATCTGCGGTACGTCTAGCGCAATCTTTGCCTGACTGATGAACAAATATGATGTGAACAGATATTATGGAAGTAGAAACAACATAATATGAAGCTGCACGCCCACAACATCAACTGAACTTGGCTTGTCATGCTATTATCATGGCAGTACTCGGTAGGCGTACTGTACGTACAACGTACAAGTACTGTACATGTGCAGTATATATGTGCACTACCGTACTTGCGCACGTGTGCGTGTACATGTACACTGTACATGTACATGCTTATATCCACACACATGCACAACACGTGTTGGTCTGGCTTCTGGAACTGCGAAAGGCCTCCCACCAGCAACCGCACGGCAGTGACCATGCGGCCATGAGCTGACACATGCACATGTACCCTATATACAGCGTACATGTACACATACACAAGACAATCGCAGCTAGTAATAGCACGATTCAGTGAAAATATGACTACGCATACACAATGAATATTCAACACGAGCTGACTTGTCTGCGTGTACACGCGCATTTACTGAAAGTTTGGTAATTTAGGGCGGAACCCATGGGAACATGTGTATACATGTAGGGCTAACTGCATTTTGTTAAGGCTAAAGTTCTTCTGAAAACCTGTCACCCCCGTAGTTTTGAATAGCCCCATCATTTTAAAATCAGTTGCCAAATTGGATATCAACTTTTATGACGAGACTCAGTTCAAAAGCTCAAATGAAGAGTTTCCTGATAGTTACAGACTGAGGGGTGACGGTTTGCAAAATTAACCCTGGCATATCATGACGTGATCGGGCCTTAGTGGCTAGATGATGGAATTTGCCCTTTATTCTCAAATTAATAAATGAAGTTGCTTTAATATTCATGAAAGTGATAGTGGTCAGTAATCTAGACATGCTCAAGAGATATTGCCACTAAACAGTGTTGTTTTGTGCACGCAAATATTCCTACTTTTTTAACTTGAAGAAAACAAGGCTGTCTTCCCAGTTCCAAATTGACAAAAAGTAGACAAATACATTAATCAAGAAAAAGAAACTATAAAAAAGGAGACAAGCAAAAACACAGAAACATACAAAATATACAGAAAGGAACTGGCATTGAATTGCGCTAAGGGAAACTGTGCATCCGTTTCTTTTTGGACACTCCATTAATTCAGGCATTTCATTATGAGACAGCAATGTTGCAATTATGTACATTAATGACAGACCCGTTTGACCGATCAGAAAAGGGGGCTTTTCATCTAGAAAGTAAACCTAGAAAAATAGTCAAATTTTTAAGTGGCAAACCATCTTTCTGTTTCCCTCCAAACACGACTTTTTTTTCAATGGACAACACTGTTATGGGAAATTGCTAGTTTTTGTCAGTTTGTGTCTAACATGACTGGAGGCAATGTTGAACTTTCGCTTTCAGCGACAAATATTTACGTGGAATTTTTTAGGTGACGCTCAGTGTTACGTTTCACGTCAATTTGTAAATATAACACGCTTCGCAGTTCATGATGAAACTTGCAACTTTTTTTACCTGCGCTTCTGTTTCCCAAAACATGAAAAGTGCCCTACTTCTCACGCTTCTCGTTGAAGTATTTTTAAGAGTTTTCTAACTAACCATGCACTTTTTAAAGAGATAAACCATCAAGGTAGTTTATGACACAGCTGTAAGACTAATTTACTGAATATCGTCAATTTTTAGAGCTATTTATAGGACCCCGTAAATAGCACTGAATTTCGCTTACAAGGGGGGATGAGTGAAATGGGTACTTGTTGCAAATTGTAGATTATAGCAAACAGCAAATAGTTTAATGGGAGCCATATTGTTTTCTTACACATCAGTTCTTTTTATGCCCGATATCGGGGAAAAATTAAACTGAAATTATAGGCTGATTCTTTTTGCCTGTGTAGAATCGAGGGACGAAAGTTATCACAAACTGAGGAAAATTGAAGACCGTTGTGTTCAAGTCGTGATTTATTTATTGGAATCTCCCTGCGAAGCACCAGTCACTGAAGAAGCTTACAGGGTATATAAGGTGGGATTGATGATATCAACCGGATCTTGCGCAAACTCCACAAAAAAGAAAACAAGTCGTACAAATTATTTGACAAAACATTAGGGCCTATGTAAGGCATATCATTGCCTGGGTGAGAATGGTGTATCATCAATATTTTTCAACAGCATACTTGCCTTGTATCAACTCCCGATGAGGTTTTACGCTCTAACGACATTGTGCGAACTTGATTTACGATTGTTTCCACGAATATTGCAATTTTTCTTCAGCTTACATTGAAACCACAGCACTGAAATAGAAACCCAAGAAATGATTATAAAAGTTGTAAAAGCGTGTAATAGTAAATGCACGAATTCTAAACTTAATAATGCAAACAATTACATGTAGCCAAAAATGACATTATTTTGGTAACCTAGCTGAGAGTGTCAAAGATAAAGCGGTAGAGAAGAAGTAAAGAAAAGAGTACAGAAAAAGAGGGGCGGAGAAGAAGCAGGAGGAGTTGTGATAGCAAAATGGCTTCATTCTGTTTAAAAATATGTTGAATAATAATAATGCAACGCATCAAGAGCAAATGAGTGGTTAACTTATTTGCAGTTCCACAATTAACAATCTTGTCAGCAGAAGGCCCTTACCCTCTACACCAAAAACAGCTCCATATTCTTATCTTTAAACTGTTGGAAGAACGAAAGCCTCTTCTGGCATCCAGAAGAAAACGATGAATCATATTGAAATGCTGAAAAGACAAACCAAAAACTGAGCAAATCTTTAGGGAGTAATACTGAGCAACAGGAAGAACTTTACCAGGAAAACTCAATACTCTTAAAAAGACTTCAGACCCAACATGATTTATTTTAATGCAGATGGCAAGCAGCGACCGCAGTGTCTGTGATGACTCATATTGTGGTTTGCGGAAACATTTCCACAGAGAGAGGGCTTGGACGTCCTATCGTACTTCAACAGGTCTGTTACAGCCTCATTGCTGTGTGACTTTAGAAGGCACGCTGTAAAAGTTCATATGACTTTTGACATAACAACTTCGATCAGTGATTTTAAGTAACTTTCAGGTCTGATCCCTGGGCAGTTAATCTACAGTTGGGTTGATTGCTTGGAATGAACTTGGAACGAGTCTTGGTTGAAATGAACTCTTCTACACGCAAAAAGCTGTTTTAATATGACGCCAATAATACATATATTTTAACGTGACATGATTCTGTCTGTTACTCTTCAGGGGAGTACAGTGAGGGATTCCTTTCGACAAAATACAGTGGTTAAATATTAATCAGAGGATTCGAAGAGTTACATCACTCCTTTTTATGAGCTCGTGCGCTGCAGTGTATTGATTGATGTCTTTTGTTCTCTATCAGGTTTTCAGTAAAAGTAAACATCATTAATGTTTGATCCCTTGAAGGAGAATGGAAGGGTGTTTTGTTCTCTTTTTATGTATAGGTTTAGACGCGCGCGTGTAGGAGCCGGTGTAACACACGACATTTAAAGTAAAAGGTGTTGAGTTTTTTCAGTTTGTTTCCAGAATTTTTTTACATGCAAGCATCAGTCTTTATAAAGAGTAATAATTTTCTTATTCCAAGCCTCAAAATAGACCGACGTTTCATTGTCAAACTCCTGGTCACCTGTACGTAATTCGTCAAACCGAAAGTGTTAGGCCTAAATTAATGTTTGCAACAATCTGCCAGTGATGTGGCTAAATATTGCTAAAATGTGGGATCTAACATAAAAAAGGTATCACATATGGTTCAACCAGTATGGTTGAAACTATACATCTTCAACGAAATACCTCCAGGAGAAAATTGCGATGTCATCTTTGACAACTGGCTGTCACAGATGGCTGCATGGGTACTGTCAGTGATTGATTTTATTACCCCTGGTGATAAAATACAGAGAGAGTTTGTACTGCCTACTTCCCAGTCGTCTGATGTGTAGAAAACATTTCAAGGAGAAACGTACACAACACTATCTGCGCAACAAAGAGTGCACCTTTAATGTTGTGCCACGGGGCCACGTGGGCAGCACCCGACCAATCGGAAACTTTCCCCACTCTGCGGTAATTGACCAATGACCACCAAAAAAGTAACAAGTCGATTTTCAAGTGATTAATAATTAATTGAAAGCAAGAGAAGGAGGGAATAAACTGGTGGACTGTGTTTTAGACACCATGTTTGCGCACCACTCTTGTACATAACAAATCGGTTTAATCCAGGGGTCGAGAATTGGAATTTGCATTCAATGGATCGATTCCTGAATCATTGTTTAGTTTTTTTTACAGAAGCCGATTGCAGAAAGTGTTGAAAATTCAAAATAATTGATTTTGGAAATAAAAGGTCGAGGTAAAAAAGTTAATCCATGCCAACAGGACGAGTGTGTCTCGAAGGGAAATAAAATATCTTGCCCCAAGTCCACGAGCAATGCATGCAATGGGAATGGTGGAAATGTGGACAATGACTGTGGACAAATATATCAAAAGTCAAACTGAGAGTCGTGTTTTTTTTCGCGTCTCTTTCTAAATATCACGGTGTATTAACTTGTATAGCCATTTTTTTCAGTGTCAGACTGAGGCAGACTTGCGTTGTCAAACCAGTTTTACTTTTTTAACCAGTGATCTTATTGCGAAAAAGTTATAGACGTTGACCAAAAGTTAGCAAACAGCTTAAATTAGATAAAGCAGTCTCTGCATCCTCTCATGAGAGGACCGGGTATTCGTTGATGACGTCAACATGACATCCTCTTGTTCTGATTAAACTTTACACGAGTAAATTGAGACGAAGGCGAAAGTGATACATTTGTTTACTGCATGGGCCATGTGCATCCGTGCTATTCCCTGTGTACTGTTCAGAATGTTGTTCTACACGTCAGTCTGGCTCGTGTTTGTTTAGACGAAGCTATTTTGGAGCACAGTTCGATGTCACCGGAAACTTTTGTAAAGAGCTTGGGAACCAGAATAGACAAATTGCTTCCGCGTGTTGTGATTGCTGGATGCAGGTGATGACCTTTACCATCACCCATAGGGCTATTGACTTTTATTATTAGCTTTATGACGTAAAAAGATATAACACCGGAGGGGCGGAAAAGGTCCACTCATCAGAATGAGACACTGTTTTTTGTTTTTGTTTTGGATGGTTTGATCACAAGATTCGACTTTTACAGCCACGAAAGAAGAATGCAATAAATGAAACACATTAATGAGTACAAGTGGATGTGCTTAATCCCCCAAGCCTTCATTAGTAAAAAGGCCAGGTCATACTGC